CCTTGAAACTCTACTCAAACAGAAAATATACGTTTGCTTCATCGACCTGGCAAAATGCCTGGCCTTCCTTAAAATTCAAATCTGCCCCATGACCCAAGGACACTCGTAGCAATGTGGTCGAGTGGTTAACGTGTCAAGCTTCCATTCTGCACTGTCACGATTCGACTCCCGCTGGAGAAGTTGATAAGACTAATGCGAAGCAGAAACTACAGTCCACTCTGAATGAGAACAACTTTTGATAAAAGCAAGGCAATGTGAAATTTAATGGAAAATTCAGCTCTACTCATATTATTGTGAAAAAATTTTAGTAGCAATCCTTCATCAACTTAAACGAATTAGGGTGAATACATCTCATCTTACGAATAATCTAGACCATGCATTTATTTCTGTGTAGAGGAATTAAATGATCATATTTACTCGATTTATTCACGATTGTCGATAAAGTATTACCCTAACTTTTGTTATCTAGTAATACTTGTCTGGTTCAGCATTAAATAATCATATTGTAAACTCCTTATACGATGACAGGCTCTCCAAAAGCTATTATTTATAATTAGAATATAAAAACAATCACAATTTTAGCATAATCATGCAAAAAGATTTTTATAAAAAATATTTTCTGATTTTATGAATAAAATAAGCAATATACATGGATATAAATAATATTATATTTATTGAGTCAATTCATTATTATAATCTTGTTGTCATAGTGCTAAAGAAGCGGCACTTCTATATCTATATTAAGAAATTATGACCACAGAGGACTTAAATTTTGAAAGAATAGAGCTTTCAAATGTAATAGGATTTAATGGTTAGCCAAGTTCTATGTTAAACGTTCTTAGGCTCTGTCAATGGAGGATTTATTGTTCATCCAGATAGGCAACATTATGTATATCCGCTAGGATGTACAGTTGTTATAGAGGATATTAACGAAAAGAAGCAAGAATTTTTACATGGCCATTCAAATAATGTGGTTTGCCTTGATATATCAAAATGTGGAAAGTGGATTGCTTCTGGACAAACGACACACATGGGATACAAAGTCATGCTTAAATAATAACAAATTTTTTTTAGGCAGATGTGATTGTCTGGAATTATTTATTAAGAGAACCTTATGCTAAATTTACTCTTCATAAGGTCAAAGTACAAGCACTTTGCTTTTCACCAAATGCGAAATATCTAGCTACACTTGGTGGGCAAGACGATGGAAGGTGTTCTGCCTTTCTAATCGAATCCATTTTAGTGTTGTTATTTGGTCTATTCCCCGTAAGGAAGCAATATGTGGAAGTCCTTCTCAACATATGAGCGCAGGTATAACATTAGCATTGGCGTATGCAAATTTGAATGACGAAACATTCATTACGGCCGGAGAGTATGAAATTTGATATTTTTATCTACATAATCCAGAAACACCATAAGGGTCTGGACTTTGGATCTAGAAAATAGGAAAATTAGACACAAGGATTGTATGATGGGGCAGATAAAACGAATAGTAAATTGTCTTGCGGTGAGTGAGATAGCCATTATGTTTATTTATTCAGGTTTCACCAGATGACGAAATGTTCTATTGTGGTACTACAACGGGAGACATACTTGGTATAAATATGAAATCCTGTCTATTACAAACAATGGCTCCAGAAAAAAATAAATTTTGCCTTGGAATTACCGCTTTAAAACCAGTTAAAGATGACATTCTAATTGTTGGCTCAGGTGAAGGAAAGTTACAAGAGTTTCATATAACTTATCAAAAAGAACTTAACAAATGCTTACCAAAGTTAAAAGCATCTAAGTAAGTAATTTTAAAAATCAACTCTGACTTATGGCATAAAAATAGTTCAATTATTATGATCACGCGCCAACGAGTTTCCTAAATTATGGTGAAATACATTGAAATTTATATAAAGAAACCGTGTTTTGTTTAGAAACACTTCATTGTATAAATTTTTAATTATTACTATTGTCAATGTCGA